GATAGATAGATAGATAGATAGATAGATAGATAGATAGATAAACAAAAACCCAGTTGCTCTCAAGCCAATTCGATGTCATTGGAGGAACAGAGTAGAACAGCCCCAAAGCGCTTCTAAGAAGGAAACTTTATGGAAGCAGGTGGCCACCTCTCTCGCCAACAAAGCAGCTGATGAACTCAACGTGCTGACTATTCAATTAACAGTCCAGCTCTTAGCCACTGAATCCCAACACATCATTGCTTAGCATTGTTTAATATCGTAGCCATGAAATCTTCATGGGAACAGATAGGCTATAAATCTTTATGGGCGCTACTGGTGGGGGTGAACCCCAACACTTGACATTAGCAGCCCAGCACCCACCCAGCAGCACCACCAGGGCTCCTATGTGTTTGCTATAAACAAGCCAACAAACACAAATCCCCTGCCTTGGGGTCAATGCCAACTCACAGCGACCCCAGAGGAAAGAAAACAAGTGTCCCTGTGGGTTTCTGAGACAGTAGCATTGTACCGGAGTAGAAAGCCCCATCTTTCTCTCAAAATAGGAAAAGTTTTAAAAAATTAATATTCTTCTAAGTAATTAAGCTTCCAGTGATTATCCTCATTTTTATTAATGTCTTGTTTGCATTTTGTTTTAATGGCACAAGTATTTGACTTATGCATGTTTTTTAAGCCATTTTATTAAAATCTATCTTTATGTAAAGCATTCACCTGAACTGTGTTCCCATTATTTTAAATGTATTCAGGAAATTAAGATTAAGATAACTGGTTATAGAAATGTAGTTGTTTGGGTGACTTCAATCACTAAAGAAAAAGTGTATACTGTCCAGAAAAACAACTCATGGTGTGGACCTGGGTAATTTTTCTCTTGTCATTTTCTCTACTAGATATACCTATGGCAAACCTGTGGACGGGAAAGTTCAACTTAGCGTGTGCAGGGAACCCCCTTATGTGTATGGTTCTTGCCGATTTCCTCTCAGCTCGCTCTGTGAAAATTTCACCACTCAGGTAAGATATTTAAAATTATAAACAAATTTGCACTAATCAATTCTCACCATCCATCCACTTTTCTTTCACCTTGTTCCCCTCATTATATCACAAAATTATATTTTTCTACATCCCTATTCCTGTCATACAATTTTTTTATCTTCTGTCATGCTAGTCTTAATTTTTATTCATTGACCAAAAGCAAATTTTACTACTGAGCTGTAAATCCACTTTATAATTCATTTATGATTTAATATCATTCCAGATTGAAGCCTATATACACCTATTACCAAAGAACTAGAAACATATGTCTTCCACTTCACTTGATAACTTTGTGAACTTAAATTGAGGAGGTGTGAGACAGTTATGGCTATTTGGTCTCACTAAATGTGTGGTTATGTTATTTTACTCTCTCTGAACCTAAGTGTGAGGAGCTGTTCTGAGAGGGACATGTATGTAACAAGAGTCTTAAATACCAGCAAGAAAAAAAACCCATTTTTTCAAACTTACAGAAGAGAGGAATTTCTGCAAAGGACTCGCTGCAAAGGCTGGTGAAAGACCATCAGAAACGGGACACAGAAGAGCATGGCTGATTGTAGCTGGGGTTCCAGTGACAATACATCAGAGTCTGACTGCCTCATTCACATAGACAACTGCCCTTCACGTAACACACAGTGTGATACTGCTTATCCGCCAAACCAAGCTCCCTGCCATTGATTTGATGCCAACTAAAAGCAACTTACAGGAAAGGATAGAATTGTCCCTTTCTGTCTCTTAAATGAAAAAAAAAAAAAGAAATTGAGAACCCAATACAATAGTACCGTAATTGCGTTGTCTTCATTAGTATTCTGTACTTGATCTTTAGATCTAATAACGATTGCAATGACTACACAGAACGCACAGACAACATGTATGGTGAAAGCGTTTATTAAGGACGTTAATGAGTTGTCGTATCCGTGGGAAATGCTCAGGATAGAGTTGTTCATCAGGACACGACACAAACTTCTTCCAAGGTTCCTAGCAGAGTTTTCACTCCATTGGACGCCTCAACCGGAAGGCTGATTCAGCCCAAGCACTGTGTGTCAGTTGAACCCAGCTCACAGAAGCAAGTGTCCAGGGGCACCCCACTATAGCAAGCTTCAGCCCCAAGGTCAGCACCCCCAATTACCGTAAGTGCTCAGAAGCACCCCACCACACAAGCCAGCCTCCTGCCCCGAAAGCCCTCGCCTTTACTTTCTCCGAGGGCTGGCAAGTCTACCACTCTGGCCCATGCTCTGGCTCCTGGCCCTGCTGCTGCTCTTTTGATGTTACAGCTGTCTTCCGGAACTCCGGAAGTAGTCTATGAATCTATGAAACCATCCCATGGGTATACTAGGTCCCTTTTATCTGTTTAATTGGTTTAGTAACTGTAAAGTTTAAAAATGTTTTACTTTCTAGAGGATTTGAACTTGACTAACAGATACTAAGAAAAATTAAAAAGAAAATAATAATATCTACTACTTATTTAATGTGTAGGAACTAAGCACTAATCTAAACACTTTCTAGTCATTATCTTATTTACTACTAATAACCTATTATTTATTAATAATGAAGTCTTTATTAATATACCCTTTTTCACAAAGTAATAATAAGGACAAGATTCAAATTTGGGTTTTTTTATGCTAAAGTCAGGGCCTTTAGCCCTGTGTAAATTCTAATTCTACAAATATTCAAAGCTTAGGAACCACAAATACAAATATTTGCAAAACAGTCACTAAATCGTAAAACTCTTCCTCAAAACTGAATAAGAATATGACTGGAATTAACAAAATTATCAATATATTATTGTGAATACATGTGGTTAGAGATAGACTTGTTCATTATTTTGTGGATTAGCAAAATTATAACACCATACGGATTTTTTTAATTTAGCATTACAACAGTTAAAACCTGCTAAAAATTATAATGAAGTTATAGGTAAATACATAAATTAGACATTTATAGAATCACAATGGATTATTTTATAAAATTTGAATCTGAATAAGACAACATTCATAAAGTTCTCAGAGGTTACACATCCCCAAAACCTCTATTTCTTATAAGCCTTTAAATATGCAATCTTTCTTTTCTTGCTATTTTTTATAACTTTTCAGTTAGGAACAACTGGCTGCAGCTCTCATTTTATTAACACAAATACTTTTGAGTTATATCGGGAAGGCTACAGAAGCTACCTTGAAGTACATGCGCTTGTCACGGAACACGGCACAGGTAATGATCTCCACGCTGTTCTATCCACCCAAAGGGATATCACTGTACAGTTTGAATTGCCAGCTGGTGGCCAACTACACACTATTAACATAGTTACTGTCATGAGTTCCTCAAATCCCAAAGTTGAAAGTCTCTTGCTCCAACTAAAATTTTTTCGATGGACAATAAAATATAGTCGCATGTGTGAAAAATGTTGAATTGTAAATATTCTTATTTATAGTTTTACAATGATAAACTTTCTTAAATAATACATTCAAATGGAACATATTCATACACACATATTACTAATTATATTAATATAAATGTATAAATTTAAAATGTTAAGAAATGACTTAAATCTTACTAGTCATCTTTGAACCTTCTCATGTTAAGCAATCTGTATTTTTCTTTTAACTTTACAATTTAGAATAATGTGCATATAATTTCTACTTATGAGCAGATTAAAGCATATGTTTTAACCAGATGGAGAGCAAAGAATGCCAGTACACAATTGCTTAAGGATAGTGAGAGATGCATGAAGAGGTCACTGAAGATATGGGTGCTATTGCCAAGTGCAGTGAAGAAGTCAGATGGTTTCTGGCTATCAGAAAGAATACCATCTGGGGTCTTATAAGCTTGTCTCAAAACAAGACGGATCTCAGTGAGATGATACCTAAGCTCACACAGGAGAAGGACACCAGCCTGTGTGATGCAGAGACTGTAAATAATAAAGTCCCAGACCAGAGAGAAGAGTATTAGAGCTAACATTCTGAAAACCCGGTTTGTGGAAGGGTATGGATGATGGGAAACCCCAAATTCATTTGCAGCATCTTCACTTGCATTAAGTCTCCATTATTCACCTCTGACCATTGACCAGAAATGTCAATAGCCTTGCTGTCAGACAGAGTGCATTGGGAAGTGAGCTACTGCAGAAATAGTTATGTTAACATTTAATATCTTATCACTGCTCTCCCTTTTGACCCATTGCAATTTGTTCTAGTTTTTATTATTCGGTTATCTTTTCAACTGAGGTTTCTATGTTTTATTTAACTATCATTATTGGGGTTTTTGGTTTGTTTTTTGTATGTTTTTCTGTATAAGAAACCCAGGGTAGGTAAACCTAGAGAGACGATAACTGGATGAACTAGTTTCTTTGGGTTATGGCAGTGGGGCGAGGGGGAACGCGAAACTAATAATAATGGGCACAAGAAAGAAGAAAATGTTCTAAAATTGATTGTAGTGATGCACCGCTCTTTTTCGTATGTTTGAACTCTTGAACTGTATGATAAGTGATTTATAAAACTCAAATTTTCTAAAAGAAGACTTAAAAAAGAGAAATAATGAGAAATGGCCAAGTGACTAAGCCTTCAGGGTGAACAGATTAGATGCTTAGCAAGGTGCTGAAGAGCAGCAACTCTGGTTGAGAATGAGGACTGTTCGACCATTTTCTCTCCTGCCAGTTCGCTTCTACAAAACGCACACCGGAAAAACCCGGGTATTAAAACTGTGTAGGAAGGGAGACCTTTAAAAGGAGTGGCTAGATTTTGATATATATATTTTAACCTATAGAATAACTGTGTGACTATTTGGTGATATTTTTCCTATTAATACTTATTTGTCTGCAGGTGTGCAGCTAACAGATTCCAAGTACATAAATATTGATTCAGCAATGGTGAGGATTCAGTTTGAGAATATGGATACTGTCTACAAACAGGGAATCCCTTATTTTGGCCAGGTGAGAGAAGCCACAACTTTATTACGTGAACACTCACTCATTTACTCACTTTTGTTCATTGATTCATTCAATCCAGCAGCTGTTTTCTGAGAAAGCACTACATGAGGGTCTCTCTGCTCTGCATTGTAGGGTGATCTACACTGGAGATTTTCATAGGCTTGTTCGGGTTTATGCCTTTTTATCAAGATGTAATTATTAATACTAATCTCCTTTTAATCTCAAATGCCCAAATTTAGAGAAATTATAGAGTCACCATAGTATTGGGGATATAATGGTAAGCTCGACAGACAGTGTTCCTGCTCTGACCAGCATGAAACAAATCATTTTATAAATAAGTATTTAATTATAGATGTTAAAGTGAAATATGACCATTTTATGACATTGCATAAGAGTCAGAAAACCACAGTCCACAGGCAAAATCTGGCAGAGGCGTGTCAGGGATTCGGTTTTGCTTGCTTGCTTTCCAGCCCCAGGTGCCCATTCATCTTTGTCATGAAAAATTTGGCTTCTCCAGATATTTCATATAAGTGGGATCATAAGTGTTATTTTGTGTCTAACTTATTTCATTGAACATGATTAAATGCTGGTTTTAAAATATTTCATATAAATAATTTTGTTATTCTCTATGACTAAAAAAATAACGGTCATAATTTATTCTAATTTTGTTCATTTCCTCCTTTTCATCATTTGCTTTGGTTTTGTTAATGCTTTTTATTTTTAAGTTATCTTACATGTTTTGCTGTACCAGTTGTTACTTTTATTGGTGAGTAAATTTCTTATACACTTTCTTTCATTTCTTTAGAGTTTGTTATTATTATTCTCTGTCTTCTTACAGTGAATACTTAGGTGAACTTCACCCGTCACCGAGACAAAATGGTATATTCCATGGCTTGTGATTTGCTTGACCCAAATCAAGATTTTTGTGAGTTTAGGGCTTGAGATGAAGCAGAATTTAGGAGCCACGTAAATGGTGCAAAAAAGGCACCAATCTGAAAGACCAACCATGAAAAAGAATAATTTCAGTAAGAAAATTAAAGGGGGGCTAAGATAAAATGAAATGCTTAAAGCAGACAATGTTGGGGAGAAATACATGAGCTGAGAACAGGGTGTATTTGTATTAGGGAAACGGAATTAGATGTGTGTGTAATAGAGAGTGTTTTTGTGTGAGAGAGGGAGCGAGGGAGAGCATGGAGAGAAAGCCACTGTTGGATTGACTGATGTATTTTTGATAAAGTAACTCATGCAATCGTGGGGCTGGCGAGCCCTAACTCTGTAGGTCAAGGGACAGGCTGAAAATTCTGGCAATGCTTCTCAATTCACAATCAGTAGGTCAGGTGGTGAGGAAGAAAGAGGAATTTGGGGAACATGTCTAGTTTTAGTCTGAGCAGATTCCCCTTGGAAAATCTCCTATTTTGCTCTGAAGCCCTTCAACTAATTTGATGAGGGCCACTAACATTATGAGCTGAAAGGAGGATCCGTTTGTATTAATTCCAGGTAAATATTTCATAATAGCACCTAGACTAAAATTTGACCAAACAATTGTGTTCTACATAGACTAGTCAAATGGACACATGAAATTTACCATCATGATGTGGAACAACATTTTATTTTCCCTTTGGTGTTCTTAAAGGTCCTACTGGCATAGATATTGATATAGTCATATTGGGAGGGACTTCTGTTTGTTCATAATTGAGCTTGTTTGTCACGAAAGACTCCAAGTCCATTTCAGTTTTATTCCTTTTTTCTTTTTAAGCGACTCAGACCCCTATGTGGGTTTGAGAGGTAAGGAATCTGGAGGGATTTTTTTTTTTTTTTTTAAAGAAGCACACGCTATATGGTTATATGTGGGGGAAGTTAAGCTGGGGAGCAGTCTTTTTATATCCCACAGTTATATACAGTTCCTCTCAAGAAATGAAATGGACAAGATCCTGTTCACCCTGCATCTATGTGGTTCTTTCTCCACCCCCACCCCTCCTCCCTCCCCCTCAATATCCCATCCCTCTTCTCTTCCCATCCTGCCTCCTCATAGGCACCAATGTCTTGTCTTTGGGTGTATAAAACACGTTTCTTTTTCTGTTTTCTCTTATAATGATGCTGGTATTAAATACCTGTGATTGTAAGATGGACTAAGTTTGCTAAGCATATGTTCTTCAGTTTTGTCCACCTGTTGCGGTGTTTGAGAGTTGCCATTGTTTTTTATTGGTACATGATATTCCATTGTATGGGTGAAACAGAGTTTATCCATTCCCTTGAAATAAGGGTTTTTGGTTGTTTCCATGTTTTTGCTCTTATGGAAATTGCTGCAATAAGCTTAGGTGTACATATATATGTCTGTTCATGTTGTAGTCTTTATTTCTTAAGGTATATCCCCAGTAGAGAGATGGCTGGATCAAAAGGTACTTGGATTTATATTTGTTTAAAAAGTTCCATACTGATTTCCATGGTGGTTGTACAAGTCTACAGTCTCATCATCAATGTAAAAGCATTTTGATCTCTCCGCCTCAGCTCCAGCATTTATTATTTTCGGTTTCATTGAATTTTTCTAAAAGTGTCAGTGTGAGCTGATACTGGGGAGGATTTTCTGGGGGGAGGGGTCTTTGTAAAGCTCTCACTGCATGTACTAGGAACACAGTGAAAAGATCATTCTAGGAACTAAATTATTTATTAGTCTGTCACGAAAGCATTTAGGAAGATGGATTATGTTTTGCATTCTAGAAAATGTGTTTTGATGCCAGTATGAAGAAATAACAGACAGTGACATCACAGGGCAAAGATTGGATAGGAGATTATCACAATGTTCCAGAAGAAATGGGAAATTGGCATAAGGCAATAGCAGTCAGAATCCATATGATCTGCTGGAAAGAGATGATGTTAAATAGATCAAATTGAGAGTGTTTTATCAACAATTAAAAATGTGCGTGAAGGAAACGCCCAACAAGTCCCAGATAATTGATTGGAAAACTAAATTAATGGTTTGACTGAGATAAATAAGAAAAAGAAGATTGGATAGAGTAAGACATAATTCAATTCTGTTGGTTTCTGTAGTCATTATACTATAAAAATATTCAAGACAGTGAAATAGTTGGTCCTGAGTTTCAAAGGAGTATTATAGAGGGAAGAAATCAAGTTCAGGGTCATCAGGATACTGGATGTCTGTCCTGTACTTAAAAGAAGTAGATGGAACTACTCAAGAATGAATGCATGCCAAGAAAGTCTAGTATCAATGGCAGAACCTTGATGTGCTCCATAAAGAATGACTCCCATGTTCACTAAGTGCTTCAGAAGCATGTCTCCTCTCTCTCTTGTACAGATTAAATTGCTTCATCCAGACAACACTCCTATCCCACATGAAATCGTCCAGCTGCACCTGAAGGACAAAGTTGTGGGCAACTATACCACAGATATCAAAGGCATTGCTCAGTTTTTCTTGGATACATCTAAGATTACAAACCCAAATATCACTTTGAAAGTAAGTCAGTCAAAGACAGAAACACCGTTGATTAGCTGGGGCTATGTTTATAATAAACACCATTGATTAGCTGGGTCTATGGGACTATATTAACAAAGTTGGGTCTATGTTAAATTGTATTTATGGAACAGGGAAGAGAATAAATACAAATTTTGGTGTGAATCAAGCATCTTTCGAAATGGTTAAACACTAAGGAAATAAGCCCTATGAGAAACAGAATTGCTTCGTGAATCCTGACACAAGGCAGAAATATGAGATGCATATTTATGTGCCTGAAAGATTTTCACATGAAAATCAAGCTGCTGGAAAGACAATTACATTCTCCTCAAAGGATGTATTTGGGAAACCTCACAACCTATTACCACAAAGTAATGTCTTTTCTGGATGTGTCCAAGAGGGAAGTATCTTATTATCTGTAATAATTAATGATCAAGCTCTCTCAGGCATTTCTTAAAGGATCCTTAGACTTTAGTGTTGATAAATACTCATGGGTAGAGTACTCTCTGTCATAGTTCATAAGAACTTGGCCCTCTCTCAGTAAAACGCTAGACCATGTGCTTAGTGGCAAAAGAATTATTAAGGACAAAAACCAAAACCTGCTGATGTCGAGTTAATTCTGACTCGCAGTGACACGATCACGAGTGTGTTACAAAGTAGAACTGCTGCTCAAAGTTTTTCATGACTGTAATCTTCATGGAAGTCAATGGCCAAGCCTTTCTTCCTTAATGGTGGACTTTGAACTGCTAAGATTTAGGCAGTTACAATAAACAACAATAACAAACTTGATTGCTGTTAAAAATGAAGAAGCAGCCAGTTGCCATTCTGACTCATGTGACACCATGTGTTCTTAATAAAAGTAATAAAATAAAATATGGGTAGAGTAATAAAGTTTTTGAATAATATCAAGCCAGATCTTGATAGAAAATGAATCTTGAAATCTATCTAATGGTCATTCTAGAGATTACAAATGAAAAGCATAAAATAACTCATTGTCTTCCGGTCAATTCTGACTCATAGTGCCCCTTTAAGAGAGAGCACAACTGCCCCTGTGGATTTCAGAGACTGTAATGTCACAGGAGTAGACTGCTTTATCTGTCTCATGAGAGCAACGGGTGGTAACTCCCTATGCTACCAAGGATCACCAGGATACTAGGAGGCTTCAAAAAGTCTGTGGACAAATAAAATAAAAAGACAATGGGATTTCCATGAATTTTATAAACCTGTGTGCTTCCAAGACTGTAACTCTTTACAGCAGTAAAAAATCTCATCTATTCCCCACAAAGGGGCTGGTGGTGTTGACCTGCTTAACTCGCTGTTGGCAGGCCAACATGCAACCACTAGGACTCCTTAGTATACTAAGAATTAGATTACTTAATGAAGAGCAACCAAAAGAGTTCATGTAGAGATAGAGAAGCACGGCAGTCAAATAACATCCAATCAGATGTTATTTCATTTCTCCTTTCTCTTATCCTAAAATGTCTATCAATTTGATTCTTTGTGTAGGTAACCTACAAGGACAGTGAAAACTGCAAGGTTAATGGCTGGATGTTACCCCATTACCCACAGTCCGAGTACTTTGTACAACGATTTTACTCTAAGACAAAAAGCTTCCTGAAGATTGTCCCGGAGATGGGCGAGCTAAGGTGCAACCAGAAGAAGTGGGTGAAGGTTCACTATCTTCTTAATGTGGAGGGCTTGGAAAGCAAAACCTACATGGCGGCCTTCAATTATGTGGTAGGCACCAAAAATATTCTCCCACCACAAAACAGTTTCCTGACTCTCAAACTTGCCCCTACATGTAACAGGATGTTCAAAGTAAATATTAAAGCTATCACTGACATAACTTAAATTTACATATTCTTAAAAAGTGACACGTAGACCAAGTGATCACACCTTGATGCACTTTCTCATCCTTCCCTCATCATCGCCCTTTTCCATTTGGACCCACCTGGGGCACATCATCATTCTAACACTCACCAGTCATGGGGAACTCAGTTGTTCTCAGTGGCTGTAACGTTGGTTCCCACCCACGGTGACCTTATGCATCGTCACACACAATGCTGCATGCACATTCCTGTGCCTTCTCCTGGATCTTTGATATCATTGAGTTCATTGTTGTGCTATTGGATGAATCCATCTCACTGTGGGTTTTCTCCATTTTCTCTGATCCTCTCTCTACCAAACATGGTCCCCTTCTCTAGTGATAATATGATTGTTTAACCATGGGCTGTTTAGAGAATTAAGTGCAATAACATGCATAAAGTCAGTACCATCTGACACACGAAACGTACTAATAGCTTGTTTTTAGTCTAATGGATTACAGAATGCTATTCTATGCTTTCTAAATGGATGCATAGACCTTCATTAAGATTGGCGAGGATGATATAAAATGAATGAACCATGAATTTCAATCAGCAAACATTTGTTTAGTGATTTTCATATTCTGGATACTGTATTACACACAACGGAAATGGAAGAAGCAGAACATTGTAAAACTGGAGACAAAGTACTGCGTTATAAGGACGAAAGTGCAGCAATAGACCATACACATTCACTAAGGGGAGGCAGAAGAGCAAATGATGCACTCTAGGTAGAGTTCAGGACAGGAATTCTCACAACGTGGTTCTCAACTAGCGGTATCAACATCATGGAAACTTGTTAGAAATGGGAATTTCTCAGACTCCACCCTGAACTAGGAAAATCAGCAATTCTGGAGCTGGGACCAAGCAACCTCGCTTTGACAAGTCCTCTGAAACAGGTGGCCAGGTGATCGCAATCAGGTATTTGGAGTGATATGACTGGCATTTCTCGTCAGCATTTATTCCTCTTGAAATAGCTTAGGTTCGACCCTCATCTGCTTTGATAAGACCTAGGCAATTACTTCTCATGCTCCGATTTTAACCGATGGATGATGATCCCTAATGTAATTTCATAGCTTTTCTTTTCTTTAATTTTCTTTCCTTTCTCCCTCCCTTCATTCTTTTCTTCATTTTTATCTTTAATTGTTTTCTTTCCTGTGTACAAGGGATACCTATTTATTCAAACGTGACAAGAATGATTTTGTTCTTCTAATGGAAATGTATTCAATATCTTCCTATTGCTATTAAAATTAACACCAAAGTCCTTTCTCATGCCTGAAAGCCTCCCCCTCGGTTTGCTAAGTGCATGTTACATCATTTATTTGGGGGGTCAAATGATGCTCCCATGGTTTCCCTTCTGCCAATGATTCTTTTTTCTCATCTACGACCACCACCACCTCAGCTGCCTGTGTCCGCCTGTTACCTTGATACATACTTTCTAAGAAAACCTTCCTTGACCTCCCAGACCATTCATGAGCTCTTTCATATTGGCCTGACTGGACTTTATTTCTCTCCCTGACACTTATAAAAACCTACGCATATGCCTAACGTATGCATGCCAGTGTTTAAAAGCTCCTGTTTCCTCACTAGTCGGTAACCGCTGTCAGGTCGACTGCTTGATTGTCTACCATTGCACAAGGGGGCTTCAAATAGCTTGTGGGAGAAAAAAAATCTGCTACCTTTTCATTCCATTTTCCCACAAAATTCCAAATCCTCCACCTGTGTGCATGTCACACCGGAAACCCTCAATACAATATTTTAGACTGACTGAATGGAGGCTGAATGAATTCTATTAATGAGCATTATGAACTTGAGCAAACACCTCAACCTTTTTGTGCCTTGGTTATAACAATTCCTATCTCACTCTTTTGGGACTTCAAGAAATAAATATATATATAACCATACTCAGAAAAGTACCTTACAAGCTCGGAACATATTGAGCTGGATGCCTCTTTGCAACTGTTCTACACCAAATGCATTACCTTGCAATTGACAGAGCTCACTTCTTTTTCGATCAGTTGCTTACCCGAACCAGGCACTCCTGAGAATTAGTGATTTTAGAGTTCACTGAAATAATGGTCAGAGTAAAATTATCAACCCTAGTCATTTCAGGCTGTATAATCTTATGGGAGTTTTCATTCTCGGCAAGTCAGTGTATCTTCTTTAGTAATGCTCTGAAATCTAATATAAAGGCAATGATTTTCTTAAAAGATCCCAAGTCCCCAGTCTGTGCTTGAATTTTAGATCAGAGTATAATGATATAAATTTATACTCATTTGTTGATAAGTGAAGGAATAAAAACATTCTTCTGGGAAACCACTCCCCTTTCTTCACAATTTTAAGTGGAGGTAAATGATTAGTTCGTGCAAGCAACCTCATTTCCCAGAAAACACTTCAAATATTGGGAGACAGTTGATAATACCTCTGTGTAACTTATTTCCATCAAAGTGAGTAAATTTAGGAGTAATTCAACACTTATAAATAGGAATGAAAAGTATTTCACCATCTCAGAGGGAACTCTTTGTTTTGGAATGCAGAAAATTAAATTACTTTTCGCTAATTTAATAACTCATATTTTTTTCAACAGTTATTAGGATGACAAGCTGAACTACTTACTGGTACCTTGAATTTACTGATGAATCCATTACATTTTATTGTTCAGTCCACAGGAAGAGATAAATCACAGTTTATAATTCAATGAAATTTAGTTACAATTCCCTAAACGCTATCATATTTTTATTCTCAGGTGATTTCAAAAGGTGTAATTATTCTTCACGGGCAACATATTGTCAAGATCAGTAATGCTGGTGAGCCTCATAGTTTTAACATAGAATTGAATGCAAACAGAATTAATTAATTGGATGTATTTTATATGCTTTTAAAAAGTTACTGTTCTTTCATTTAGGTTGTTTATTGCTCCAAACTCACCTTTGAAAATATGCAATGTTGTATGAAAGGGGACAATCCTAAATAAACAATATAGTAATTCATGAAGCTTGACAGGGGTTAATATTCAAAGCACTATTATAAAGTCACTGGCCCTTCGCTTTCTCTTCCAAAAAGAACCGCAAGGAGATATAGTCAAACAGAAAGAGTTGAACAGCTCAACATAATACGGCTTGGAAGTTTGAAGCCTTAACGGATATCCAACTATCCCTTGTTATTCTTTATGGGGGTGTTGGGTCAGGTTATCTTGTTCACTAGCTAGTTAGTGGGTAAGATGGCTAAAACTTTTAATAAAAGTTTCTGCTCATTGAAAAACATTTTTTTTTGACAAAACAGTTTTACCAAGACACTTTTTTCAGTTTGCTGCTTGTTTTCACAGATGGGAAAGGCATATTTTCCATCCCTATACAAGTTAGCATGGAGTTAGCGCCCTCTGCAGTTATGTTTGTGCACACCTTACATCCTGGAGGAGAAATGATCGCTGACAGTGCCCATTTCGAAATTGAGAAATGCTTCAGAAATGAGGTAAGAATGAGACCCTCTCTCAGATTTGATTAATCTGTTAGAAAACTAAGAAATTGGATGCATACTGCATTTAACTAAGTTTTCGTTATTCTGAACATTACAGAATGAAAAATTTTAAAAGGATGATAAAGTTAGGAGTTTGGATGATTAAAAAATAACAGACTTAGGACAGCCATTTAGGATATTGTTTTTATTTTTCTAAGCTATTGCTGCCATTAGAAGGGTGAGTCACTGAGAAGATTCTCCCAAATTGTGGACGTTTGATGAATATTACTGTGGTCTAAAACATAACTCTTCTCATGTGGCTTGCCAGACCCATCGCCCTTTGTCTATTGCTACTTTCAGGTCAACTTAAAGTTCTCTAAAGAAAGCAGTTTACCAGGATCCGATGTCAGCCTGCATGTCTCAGCTGCCTCCAACTCTCTTTGTGCCCTTTGGGCTGTAGATGAAAGTGTGTTGTTATTACGGAACTATAACCAGCTATCAGCACAAAGTGTGAGTGATTAAACCAAACTGTATTTGCTAACAACGGTATAGTTTTACAGGGACCAGGTGGCACAGTGGTTAAGCACTCAGCCGCTAACCGGTAGGTCATTAGCAGCTCCATGGAGAAATACGTAGCAGTTTGCTTTGTAAAGATTTAAAAGGTGGAAACCTTATGGGCCATTCTCCCGTGTTCTGTAGGGTCGTCCTGACCCAATCCCAGTGGGTCTGTTTGTTTCGTGTGTATCTTTACCTTACATAAAAACGGCAATATGTATATAAACTAGGCAATGAAGAGACTGGCTAGAGTCCAAATGGGATAAAAAAAAATATCTAAAAGTTCAGATGTGTAAAATGAACTCTATTTACTCTAAGTGCATGAATTGTCTTATGGTAAAGTGAGCAATAATTTTTAAATAAATAACTTACTGAATGTCCACTATTTGACAAATATTCTGATATGTACTATGTAATTTTATTTTATGAATTATAATTTTATTAACTATAGTATTAATATTGTACTACCATCTTGGGCTCAGGGGGATTCAGTAACTCAAGTAACACAATGAACTTGAATGAGTCATGAAAGAATGTTGAGAACTTCCTTTATCTATAAATTATTCAAATTCAATTGTCTCACCAATCTTTATTGATTTTAATATAAGCCAATAATCAACTGCGAATATTTCAAAATGTTTAGAGCTCTGTGTTCCTATACTTTTCTAATAACTGGTATAGGCAGAATGGCAAACTTCCAAAATATTTCCATATATAAAGCTTATAAGAAGAACTCATTTCCATGACAACAGTTTATTCTCTTCTATTTAGGTGTATAATGAGCTATATTACAGGCAACTATATGGCTACTATTTTAAAGGACTCAATTTAGAGGATGGCCCTAAAGAGCCATGCCTTAAACATGAAAAAATTCTTCACAATGGCATTTATTATGCACCGGAATGGGCTGACTTTGGAAAAGACACCTATGACCTTGTGAAGGTACGCTAACGATTGTTACAGTGGTGAATGTAGGAGACAAAAATAATTGGAATGAAAATCCAAGTTTTATATGTTTTAGCTAAGAATTCTCCAATTGCTTTATAATTCAGAAGAACTATTATTTGAAAAATGATCCATATTCCTGAATAATTATTCCTGTATGCATTATGGACTGGGCGTCTGATATAAATTCCCAAACTTTTGCTTCTATACCCACTCGCCCCCAAATTAAAGTTATTTTAAAGTATATAGATTTTAAAGTATTTACAAAAGGGATTTTCTTAGTGCAACAACAAAATAAAACAAAAATGTGCCTAACTCAAGTTATTGAATATCTTTAAAAAGTAAAAACAATTGTCCATGAACTCATTCCAATTCAACGCCATGTGTGTTGGAATAGAATTGTTTTCCACTGGGTTTTCAATGGCTGAGATCTCGGGCCTTTCTTGGTAGCGGGACTTGGGTCTCCAGCACTCCAGATGGTGGCCAGGCTTACTAATGTGTATACCACCCAGGCATGGAGTAGTATATAACATGAACCTTTATATTTTCCCTTCTCACTTACACCTTTCCATTAACAACTATTCACTAAGGAAAAGGAAACAGCAGCAAATAAGAGAAACACCGGGGATTAAAAATACGCTGTTGCTCTTGTTAGAAGTTGAGTTATTTCCAAGACATAGCGGCCCGACGTACAACAAAAGGAAATACCGTCTGGTCCTGCACCTTCCTCACCACCACTGCCGTCGAGTCCACTGTTGCAACCACCATGTTAGTTCATGTCACCGATGGCCTTCCTCGTTTTCACTGACCCTCTGCTTTCCGCATCGTGTTCTTCTCAAGGGACTAGTCCCTCCAGATAGCATGTCCTGAGTACAGGGATCATGGCTCAGAGTCTCACCACTTTCTCTTCTAAAGGGCATTCTGAATGTAGTTCTTTCAAAACCGATTTGTTTGCGCTGCTGGCAGTCCTTCATATTTTCAAGTCTTTACCAACACCGTAATTCCAATGCAGCGATTCTTCAGTCCTCTTTCCTCCCGGTCCAGCATTCCCATGTATGTAAGGCAGTTGAACATAGCATGGCTTGGGTGGGGTGCATCTTACTTCTCAAAAGGACATCTTTCCTTTTTAATACATTAGCGAGGTCTTCTGTAACAGACTTGCCAAATGCAATACATCATTTGACTTCTTGACTATTACTGTCATAGGTGTTGATTGGGGAGTGTAAGTAAAATTAAATCCTTTATAGTATCAATGCTTCAATTGAAAATATAAAACTTAGAAAATGTCATGGAAGCATCACTAGATTTGTGACATTTAAGGTTAATTAAAGAACAGAAGGGAATGAAAAAGATTTAGATAACAAAAAGGTGTCCAAATTGCAACTCTAGACTATTACATGATCTAAAATGGATTTTTGTCTTGAAAGGCAATGGGATTAAAGGTTTTTACCAACTCTCATTACCGGAAACCAGAACTGTGCAAGTATTCCAGGTACCCTGAATATGATGTTGAAGAAAACTTAGGTGAGTCTTAGTATAACGTGAGGGTCAAGTAGCGGCTTGTAATCTCTTTTCCTGCATGAAATAAGTTGAAGACTTGGAAAAGTAGGCAAAATTTATTTTTTGAAAAAATATCTCCTGTAATACCAAATGTTATAAATATACAAAAAAGAAAGCAGAGAAGTCTTTATGCTTGTGAGTTTATATTGCATACAAATAATATACAAACAACATAACTGTGGATTATATTAAGTACTATGGGGGTTAATATTTATTGAATGGCTACTGTGCATCAAGCAATGTTATACACATTTTATATATTTTAATCAATTTATTCTTACAACCTATAGAAGAGGAACTCCACTTTACTGATGCTGAAAGTGAAGCACAAAGAAGTAACTTGCCAAATGAAACACAGTTAACTGTCAAGGATGTGATTGTAGTCCAAGCATTTGAGACCCAAGTCCATGTTTTTTAATTAAATGGTACTAATTAAAAGTACTAATGAAATAAAACAAGCTAAGGGGAAAATGGAGGCTATAAAGAGGTAACTGAATTATCAGAAACTTAAAAGAAGCCAAGAATTACTTAAATCAACTTCTAGGCAAGTTCAAAAGTAGACAAGAGATGTGAAGGCACAATAAAAAGGAAAGGTAATAGACAAAAACTACAAGAAAAGAGATCTAGCCTTAGCCTCACCCCTCGGTACACTCTATCGTAACGTTAGTGATTACACCAAAGGAAATGGAGTGGTACAAATGGATCGCTAAAAGAAGCAGAAATCTCAGGAATAATGCATTGTGTTCATGACAACTTGGTAAGTAATATGAGGTATATGGGAATTAGTGTGGAAAGAGTAAGCAATTAATTTAAATTATTTTCATTGCAAAAGGGCAAATTAGGGAACAGGAAGACTTATCCTTTCACAGAAACACCCAGCAAATAATAAAAATTGTCAGAATCAACTTTGGCAGAACTCTGGGAAATAGCTAAAATTTTATAACATCCACATGAATGCTGCATAAAAATCAAAAAAAATTTTAAGGATATTTAAATGCTTTTAAGAAAATCTCTAACGAACTAGATGTAGCTGGCCACATCTGAACTAACAGATTTCAAAAGCCACCTCTGAAAAAACTATCACTTTTAGTTTATTTAAGCCATTAAACAAATAAACAACATCCAGCTGTAAGCAACACAACAAATCCCGAAGGGGGGAGGGGGAGAATGATTGACAAAGTTCCCATATTATCATGTTAAAGCTGAGTTTTCAATTAAAAAAAACTATAAGGCATGCCGAGAAATAAAAATGTATGGCCCATTCTCAGCCTACGGAGCAAACACAGGAGCAATGGTGAGAATGGCGCAGAAGTGGCCTTGTTTCACTCTGTTGGACACAGGGTTGCTCTGCTACCATGCTGACCCCATGGTACCCACCTTCAAGAAGGCACAGATTTCAATTTATAAAACCTGGACTTAAATTTACTGTCTCAAATATATATTTGAATGGCCAAAAGGAACTACGGACACACACACAAAAAACTAACGAAAGCCAGAACGATGTATAAACAAATAGAAATGGTAATAGAGTAAAATGATTAAGTTGCAAAGACTAACTGAAATGAATTCACTAGTTTCTTCAGCAGATTTGCGCAACTACATGAACCACTGGACTCAAAGACAAAGTGTTATTTTCCATTAAAGGAAACACAAATAAAAGAAAATGAACACAACATACAAAGGCCGATGGGATACGATCAACTCTTTCAACACATACAAAATCAGAGTCCCAAGATGGGTGGAGAGAGAAAGAACGGCAAAAATCTCCCCAGACGTGATAAGGCACATTCACACATCCAAGATACTTATTTACCTCCAAGTAAGATAAAATGTGCCAATATCTACACACGGACACATTATAATCAAACTGTCAAAAGATAAATACTTGAAATAACAAGCGAAAAGAAACCCAAAGGATGCAGAGAAACAGTCTTTGGTGGATGGTTTATTTATTTTTGATATTCCTATCAGCACTATGAGTAGGTCACTGTACTGCCTACCAATCACCTGGGCCCGATGCCCTCTTGGAGGTGGTGTTAGGTACCATGGAGGCAGCACAGACCCATAGCAACCCTGTGTGCAACAGAATGAAACAAGGCCAGTTCTGCGCCATCCTCACGTTTGTTTCTCTGCATGGCACCCAAAGGATCTCCATGGAGATTAGTGATTAGGTAAGTTAGTTCTCATCAGAAACCCAGGTGATCAGTAGGCAGTACAATGACCTGCTGATAGGACTATAAAAAATAAATAAACCATCAACCAAAACCCCAGTATCAGACAAAACCGTTGGCTAATATATTTACCTATGCTTTATATATTCACCTTTACCAATGTTCTTCTCATATAGCTTTGAGATGCTGTCTAGGGTCCTTTTATTTTAACCCGACTCTATACGTTTTCTTGCATGGAAAGTCACTAGCAAAATCTTTTTTTTTTCCAAACCATTTTATTGGAAGCTATTTCAGATAGCATACTATTCCATAGTTCAATAACATCATGCAGTATTGTACAATTGCCACTACAATTAGTTTCAAAACATTTTCTTCCTTCTTGAACTCCTTGATTAGTTCCCCCCATCCCACCCCTCACCCTCAGGAACCCTAATTCTACTTTGCTGTATAGGTTCATCAATCCTGGGTTTCATATGCCAAAAAACATGTTACAAAAATTCAAGAGGGCCACCTACAATGTCAAAATACATCAGATATAAATCCCAAAATGCAAAAACACAAACAGAAAAATAGATCATGCCTAAAGTGTATCAGAGGGAGGATCAAGTGACAAGGTTTTAACTGTTCAAGTTAGGCTTACCATTTTGATCTCCTATAGTCCTTTCCAATACTCTGTTTGGTAACCAGTTTACTCCCAGCCTTCCATGATGGATAGAGGGAAGGCACCAGAGGCTTATTCCTCTGCAGAACTCACAAATGTCTACTGGGCTTCCACTGCCATCCACAGCCTTCTGCAAACCAGAATCTTACAAATTAAGCTCTGATACTCCTTCCTTCGGCTTTACATTATATAATTTAAAACCCTTGGGTCATGGATTTTGATGTGCTTCTTCGAATGTGGACTTAGTTGACTTCTTATTTAGATGGTTGTTGGAAACAAGCCTTTAAGACCTCAGACAATATTTTAGCTGACAGCTGAGCACCATCTAATTGCTTCACCACACTTTGCTTTAGCACTTCTCTTCTGTGTTTCCTGCAGGGGGGCACACACCTTTTCATGATGCTTTCATTTCTGAAGGGTAGCTTTGCCTGATATATTATATGCCTATATAATTTTAAATGAAAATGTATATATTAACCATTATAAATATGTCAGTGGACACACAGTGGATAAAAAAGTAGTGTAAGTCAGGAGGAATGAAACTGTACAAAAGTAGAACTTTGTATACTATTGAAATATAGTTAGTATTAATTCAAACTACATTGTTATGTTTAATAAGTTCATTTTAGCTACAATGGTAACCACTTAGAAAATAACTAAAGTAACTATAAATAGAAAATGAGAAATAAAAATGGAACACTACAAAAATTTTTCTGTATGTGAAAATGAGCAAGAACATGCATTAGAGAAGAAATTAAATATATACCCATCAAAAGAGGCATATATAAACCCCTGTCATTGGATGAATTCTGACCCATAGCAACCCAATGAGGCAGAGTAGAAATTGCCCCTATGTTTCCAAGGCTGTAAATCATTACAGAAGCAGTTTGCTATATCTTTCTCCCACGATGGACTTACAGCCAACCTTTCAGTTAGCAGCCAACGCACTACCAAGACTCCAGAGGTGTAAATAGGAAGAGGTACAAAAAAAGACATTAGGAATAATGGAATGGATATATTTGTGTTAACATATAGCTGAAAAACATTATGCTAAGGGGGAAAATCCTAGTGTTAATAAATGTTACTATTTTCAAAATTAAAAGGAAATACAAAGCATTGCTTTATATTTTCTACATATACATGGAAGAATTGCAAAGTTAGATGGGTGTTTAGAAGCTGATAAGTACTTTTACTTTACCTTTAGGGTTTTGTTTTACAGGATGGTACATCCCCATATTACTTGTATAATGTGTGTATAAGGGCAGTATATAAAAATGTCAATGACAGGTGACAATGGAATGTATAATTCTATGTTAACTTTTTAATAAAGATTTGTAACATATCCATACATTAGTCATTAAAGTAGGATCTTCAAACTTTAGTAAAAATTATTGCTGAGGATTAAATGAGTTAAAGTAAGTAAAGGTCTTTTACAACAGTGACTTAGACAGCAGTAATTCAATAAATGAAAGGTAGTAAGTCATCCTCAAAACAAGTCTATTTGCTAGGAAGTTAAATATGGCTTTTTTACATATACAATAGCTTTGGATATTGTGCTTTGTCTTCCTCTAGCAACAACTCCAAGTGGGATGGATGGTGATACGAATCCTAAAGATTCTATAGGTTTACAATCTTCACAATCTTATACCCATACTCTGAGGAAATCATTTCCTGAAACCTGGGTTTGGAATCTTATCACAACTGAGTAAGTTTTTGTTTGTTTGTTTGTTTGTAATTTGGGTTTATGAAGTTATTTTTTTCTTTTGAACAAAGTCAGGAGTTAGATGAAGTATTTCAGATATAAAAATAACTGGGTCCAAATGCTTAAAAATTAGGAAAGCCTGTTAAAAATTTTGCATAATCTGACAAATTTCTAACGCCACTCTTTTCCTCCTTTTATTTTCTTTATTCTTTTTATTTTCTCTTTCATTTTCTTATTTTTTCAAATATTTTCAAATATTTATTATTTGCTTTTATAATAAGATGGTTTTGTTGGGAGAAATGTTATATTTAAGCCCATAAAACAGACCAAAATTTTGTTTTCTACTGTATGAAATGATGAAAACAATTCTCAACAAAACATACAAAGGTAAAAGAGAAAGCGCAGAGGAGAGGTAACAAAATGTAGAAGAAGAGTAGAAAAAGTAAAAGATAATGAAAAGCAGGAACAAAGGGGGGTGGAGGATGGAAGGAAAGTTGGAGAAATTACTTTTTAAGTAGTTACCATAAAAAATTCAAGAATAAGGCTAATGTAAACATTTTAAACTTGAAAACTGTATTATAAGGCTCATATTTCTAAAATTACCAGTAAAAATGGCTAAGTATGGCCAAAAAATCATTTATAAGTAAATTAAACTTGCTAGTTGGGTACCAGTTACCATGTAGTCAACTCTGACACATGGGAAAGCAACTGTGATCCATGGTGGTTATTTTTCAGAAATAGGCCTTCAGGCCTTTCTTCCAACGACCTATTGGATGGACACAAACCTCCAACCTTTCCGTTAGCGGCTAAGTTCATTAGTCTTTTGCACAACCCAGGGTCTCCAAACTACTCGAGGATTTATGCATCTCCAATACATGGAACAAGTCATTACATTTTAGATCTTAATTATCCCCAAATTTCTAAATACATTGAGGTTAACAACCAATCCCAGTCTATCAATGATGAAAGAGATAAATGAGTATTTGTAAGTAAATCGAAAATTAAGGTCAACTATTACAATAATTTGTACTTTGTTAGGGATTATAATAAAGGAGCGCATCGATATAAATTAGGGTAGAGTAAAAGGATAAGAGCTCAGAATTAAGAGCCAGATACAATCTAAAGTAAATCTAAGGTAAGGGAAACAGGTACTAAACACATTTCTGCACATGGGAAACATGAGCTTCTTTGTAAATAGGTCCAAAGGAGCCCTGATGGAACAAAGGTCAGCCCTTGGCAGCAGGCTAACCTACAGGTGGTGGTTTAAACTCACCATGCTCTCCAGCACAAAGACTTGGTGATATGCTCCCCTAAAGATTACAGCAAGAAAACACTGTGCAGCCCTTCTACTCTGCCACAAGAGGTTCCTATGAGACCATACCAACCATGGCACTTCACAACACAGACAAGGAACAAGGGGCCAGACACGGGGAAGGGGGATGAAGAAGGCAGACCTGACTATTGTGGCTCACTTAGCAGAGTGGCAGTTGAAGGACACAAAGCACTGAGTAAATACATAGTAATTACAAAAGAGGGAAAAGCAAAAACCATTGCTACATGGAATAATTTTTTAAGTCACGATATGATAATTTCCCGAGTTTACCCCTCTACCTTAAATTTAGCTGGCCCTGCAGAAGCCCGCCAAAGTCAGGTTTTTTTGTTTGTTTTGTTGAGAAGATATAGTTATACATGGACTTCTTTATTAGTACATCACATTACAAGGTCACATTGTGAGATACTTGCCACACCTATAATGTAACAGAAAATACTTAATTTGTATAGGTGAAAAAGTTGCAAGTAGTACTTTTATTACTGTGATTTACTGCCAGCATCCATAATTGGAAGTGAAATAGAATTCAGTGACTAATGAAAATCAAGATGTATTATTTTACTTCATGAAGTTCATAAATACCCGACTTCTATCCTGGTCCAGAACTCCTACTTTAGGGGTAAACTCTGGGCATGATTAGGACACACCTGGAAAGATGCATCTAGAGAAGAGACAAGACCTCACTCTAGAATTCCCACTGTGGGTGCAGACACAGTTCTGCACATTCAGGCCCTGTGGACGAGAAGATGGTATTAGAAAACAAATTCACCAATGTAGACTCCAGCTCTCCTGACGACGACGAACAGTTTTTGAGTTCAATTAGCTTAATGTATCAAGGTGAAGTCTTCTCACCATCTTCCACCTCAAAAGCACATGACATGATGGGGTTGGGGGCAACATGTCCACTATGCTAACGAGGTCTCTTGGGGGTAAGTCCCCTTTACCAGCCACTCCTTCTTCAGCATGCAGGCCTCTTGGTACGGGGGAGATGGGAGGCTGTCCGACTCCTAGTCGTCCTCGAGATCCAGGGGGTAACTTCCATAGGAATCATAGGCAGGGTCCCCACAGGTCACGAATGGCACGATGATGCGGGTGGGGCCATCTAGCTGGTTGAAATCTGGGTCGTATGTGTGGTCCAATAAGGGTTTGGTCAGGTCTGGTATGAAGCCCGCAGGAGGGTCATAGCCCTGGCAGACAACGAAGGCCTCAATGCTGGAGTTCCGGCTGCTCCGGGGCTTGGCACACACCACCTTCGAGAAGAAGACGCGCAGCTGGCTGTAGAGCAGCGTCACATCCCGGCCTCGGAAGATCTTGGACACAAAGCAGCCCCCCGGCTTCAGAACGTGGGTAGCAATGTTCAGAGCAGCTAGGAGGAGCTGGGCCTGCATGTACTCATCCACATCGCGAAGGCCAGTTATGTCGGGGGCCCCATCACACACGACGAGGTCGGCGGGGCAGCCCTCAAAGTGCTGACTGATCTCCTTGGCCGTAGACAGCTGGGTGATGTCGCCCTGGATCTGGAACACACCTGGAAGCGGGGCCATCGCCTGCAGGTCCACCGCCACCACGTGTCCGTCCGTCATCCTCTGGCTCAGGACTTGGCTCCAGCTGCCAGGGGCTGCGCACAGGTCCACAGCCCGCACCACCCCTTGTAAGAGCTGGAATTCCTCGTCGAGTTGGAGGAGCTTAAAAGCGCTGCGGGCGCGCCAGCCGTTCTCCGGGGCCAGGCGGCAATCGGCATCCTGCTTGTCCTTTGATGTCCGCCCCATGTCGCGCGCTCGGATGGGTCCGGGGACCTGCAAACAAAGCTTAGCTTTGAGCGCGGGAGAAAGAAGGCTGCTCGGGCAGCAGCTGAAGCTTAGCGACAGCAAAGAGGAACCGCGGGGCTTCAGGGCGAGCGGACGCCAATGCCTGTCCCGCAAGCGCTTCGGCGAAAACGGCGCAGCACCGTTAGCGATGTGATTCGCTGTGATTCGCTGAGACTCGCTGTGATTCGCTGTGATTCGCTGAGACTCGCTGTGATTCGCTGTGATTCGCTGAGACTCGCTGTGATTCGCTGAGACTCGCCGTGATTCGCTGTGATTCGCTGAGACTCGCCATGATTCGCTGTGATTCGCTGAGACTCGCCGTGATTCGCCGAGACTCGCTGTGATTCGCCGAGACTCGCTGTGATTCGCTGAGGCTCGCTGTGATTCGCTGTGATTCGCTGAGACTCGCTGTGATTCGCTGAGACTCGCTGGGACCTGCTCGGAACATACAACGTGAGATGTGCGTTCTGTGATGACGTAACGCGAAACCACTGTTTCGATTGGGCCTT